AACAAATATAGTAACAACAACGTCAGAATACGAACGCAATCTCATCGTTTTTATTTTTACTTCATTACACATCAAAACAGAATTATAATGAAAGTTATAATCTTATAATTGTAAGAGTGATGAAATAATGACATTTTGATCTATTTATAATGATAATAATGTTTTAAGGATTACATTACACTGGCAGTAATGATTTCGTGACCGTAATAATGATAAGGCATTATGAAACGAAACTGATTTGGCATCTTTATTACCTAATCTAACCAATTCAAATCAAATAACAATTTATTAGATAATGTTAAATGTGCACAGGATGACGGCAGTTAAGGTGGGGGGGGCAAAGTCTCGAGGGGGGGGGGGGCTTAACTGAGGAAATTGTGCGAGGGACGAGGGAGAGTTATGACCTCTTATAAATGGTGCCGGTTGCGATCACTCATTGTGTCTGACTGAATCTGGATCGTTTACCGTTTCATCTCATTTCTGAGCTTGACTATGGCCCGCACCAAGCAGACAGCCCGCAAGTCCACGGGAGGGAAAGCCCCTCGCAAGCAGCTGGCCACCAAGGCCGCCCGCAAGTCTGCCCCTGCGTCAGGAGGCGTCAAGAAGCCCCACCGTTACCGCCCCGGCACGGTGGCCCTTCGGGAGATCCGTCGCTACCAGAAGTCCACGGAGCTGCTCATCCGCAAACTGCCGTTCCAGCGCCTCGTCAGGGAGATCGCGCAGGACTTCAAGACGGACCTGCGGTTCCAGAGCGCGGCCATCGGGGCGCTGCAGGAGGCCTCCGAGGCTTACCTGGTGGGCCTGTTCGAGGACACCAACCTGTGCGCCATCCACGCCAAGAGGGTCACCATCATGCCCAAGGACATCCAGCTGGCCAGACGCATTCGGGGAGAAAGGGCCTAGGGCGACCTAGGGCTCGGGGTGACGGAGGGCGCGGCGGGACGTGTTGTCAGCGCCGGCTCGTGGGGCCGTGGGCCACGCCTTCTGATCTCCAATTGACAATATATCCTGGATGTCCGCCGATCATCTTCGCTTGTTAAGCATTGACTTGTTAAATGTATATAAAGTCTTCCTCTTGTTATCCGTTTCATATATATTTCCGACATATCAAATTGTACAGTCCCCATAAAATTGCAAGACAATATATATGCAAGTTTACTCTCAATACGTTTAAAATATACTTTACATTCTAGTTCTAAAATCAACGCCAGAGCTGAATATTTACATGGAAACATAATTGCAAGTTTATAGAAAACCTGTATTATAAAAATGCAGGACTGGCGGTCCATAAGAGACAGACCACAAAAACAAACCATGTACCATTTCCCTATACCCAGTGGAATGAAAGGGAATACAGTAACAGACAAAAGGGTCTAGATTTTTTTCTTTTAAATTTTGCAGATTTGTGGACTTCATGATAAGAGAAGGAAAATGCAAGAAGTCTACTACTTCTTTCTCAATCACTTCCTCCATGGTATAAGGTAACAAATACAAAATACAAATACATAAATATGTATACATATACTGTATTTACATACATATATATGCAATATATATATATATATATATATATATATATATATATATATATATATATATATATATATATATATATATGTATATATATATATTTATATATATTTATATAAAATATATATGCATATGTATATTTATATATTATATATATATATATAACAGACAAAGACGATGTACGTAATAATCTGCAAAACATTACATCATACCTTTCCTGAGAAACCTGGGATGAAGCAGAAATAAAAGTTCAGAAGATATCAGGAAATGTAAAATTACAGAAGACAAAACACCGGATTCTGCAGAGGAAAAGCCTGAAGCGCCAGCAACACATAACATCCAGTCTAGCAGACAAATAACAATGAAAACACACACATCATAGTGAAATGAACAGAAAAATAATATATAAGTATATGTATAAAGTGAGAAGGAGTAATGTATGTTCTAATGGTTTTATGTGACCAGACCCTCCGACTTAACAGCTATCAGCCTTTGACGATGTTTATAAGGCGGACTCATAATATTTAATAAATCTAAATTTGCCATTTATGATTGATATTTCTTTTCGGTAATCTAAGCAATGATGTATGTATATCCTAGTGACATACCTAAGATTTCCTTTAATAACTTCGCGTATGTTCTTCGCAGTTGAAAAAGCAAATAAAGGTCCGTGATTGGCAGTTGCAATCCTTGAATCAAAGTCACCTAACAGCAGTGGGTATAAACTGCTTGTTATCGTTACTCCAAGTATTGTTGTGATATATCACCTTTCCCTCCCACCCCATTCCTCTTCAATTATGTCTCAAGTAAAAAAAAAAGATATTGAAAGCTTAATTCTAATGCTTTTTTTTATATGTAAGAAATTAATTCTAGTTAAGGAATAAAAAAATGTAGACATTGCTTTAACAAAAATAAAGAAATAAAGTATTGTTTCTGATACGAGAAATTGGAATTGAAACATTGTTTCTTCGGTAATGAACAGAAAATAAACATTATTGTTGCAATATCCACGGAAAACACATAATTGTCTGTCTTTTAATAAAATATCAGAGAGAATCTGTAGAGAACAATGTAAACTACATATCAGTATCAGCGTTTTTCATCTGGTTCCTGATTTTCACACAAAGGAAATTCAAGAAACCAGCTTCGCAACAGTAAGTCGTGGTAAAGGAGGGGGGTGGTAACCGCATAAAAAAAACTCTGTGTGAGGGAATGGGATATTCATTCAAAAATTTGGCAAAAGAAAAAAAAAAATCTCTTCATTCTGCTAATGATAATCCTTTGTTAGGGTTTAATTTTCGCTCGATGTAAGAAATTTGAACCTTGCTGACGTTTGCCACTGTCCTCGACCGCTTCATCAACAGTCAGTATAGTTTGTTTA